GCGGAAATTAACTTGAAATTATGGTATGGAAAACTGCTAAAGGGAATAACTGAAAAGTGAGCACTTTCAAGAATCTGTCTGTTCTCATTTTCGTAGTATTTATATTATGAATACAATGTCGATAATTGTTCATTTATTGCTTGGTTATTTGATAGTTTCCAAATAATGCACATTGCTTTATTCTGCATAGCCTCCCTGAAATGATTCGTGCAAGGGCAATTTTTCCATTTCCACTTTTTGCAAATATTTTTCTGCGCTATATTTAAGCATGAATAAATGATTATAAAAACTAAGCGTGCAGTAGCATTTGTATACTCGTGTCCTTCTTTCAAAACGGAAATAATGAATGTGGTGGTATGACACAAGTCCTGAATACTGTCTTTTTGCCCTCAAAGGAAGTGATAAGTATCTTTTTCATAAATTAAAGCAATTAACCAGTTAACAAATAAAAAAGTTCAGGTAGAGATAGTTTGTGTTTTGAGATGGATGTTGAAATAGGAAAGATGTCGGTAAAAGACTTCAAAACAGAAAGGGTCATTAATTTAAATGAAGCTCCTTTTTATGCACATAAAGAGCATACTGCACTTTTAGAAAATGGACAGTAGAATTATTCATCTTAAAGCGGACGGAATCACGATGGGTATGGGGAAGAAGTTATGGAATGTTTGTTGACTTACAATTCTCATAAATTGCCTGTGAATAGTGGGAAATACGGTTCTGTTCTCTCATCAATTTATCGTCCTAATTGTTATCTTTTAAAAGGATACTCTATAGATTATTCGGTCAGAAGTAGCTTCTAACATGCAATTCTTAAACAATAAATAGTGAAATATTCTTATTCAAATATGTTATTCTTCATAATCTAACAATAGTAGTAGGCACTTCATCTAGTAATTATTTGATAACTGATAACTGGTCATTTATTATCTTTTGATGGTTGTTGCTAGAACTTCGATTACTATTTATCTACTGATAAGTTATCACTTATCCCAATATATTATCGCTTGATCTATTCATTATTTTTCTTATTTAATCAGTGGTACTTGCTGAGGGTACTAGTTTGAACTTCATTTGAAATAACTATTTAAAATGATAAATAAAAAACTTGTTCTATACTATTACAGCCATTTTCTGGACACTGATCATATACCAACGGATGTTGCCCTTTACCTATCTTATGATCACTTTTATTAATTTACTCAACTCAATGAATTATTTAATCCTCTACTATTCTGGCAGTAATTTTTTCAATAATATAAAATACAGTGTGTTGTAGTTTCCCGAATAGTTGTATCATAAAGCTTCGCAAAAAATTTTATTCAATGAATAAAATAAGCTTTAATTTTTCTAGTGAGGCAGTTCTCTTGGTTCGATACATTACGAGGCGAGAATGCCCGTTAAAAGTCGTTATCGTGATAACTGCTATAAATCATTTTCTGTTTCAGCATTGCCAATTGTAAATATGAATAATAAGAATGAAACTTTGTTGTAAAAATTTGTTAGTTACTTCATCTTCCATATCTTTTCATTTCCTTAGTTAAACAACTTTTTACATATGTAGAAATAAACAGAAAAATAAAACTGCAGACATGAAACTTCCAGTTGCAAAATACAGAATTCATTCGAACTTCAATATTTCATCATTTTAAAAATTGAAAAGGAATAATGAATTTTGATTGTTGAATTAGTGTTTCAAACTGATTCATCTCCATTTTCTTCATCCATCCATTTCTTTCTAGTAAAAGATGTTAATCATATCAAATAAGTGATAACGCTGCAAGTAATTGTGACGACCGATTTACATTTATTACAACACTTTAATAGAAGAGGAAGGGACACACTGATAAATGTACGTTGCAGTAAAGAATGGTTTTCAAGTATATGCGATTTGTCGAAAAGCATTAATCGTATTGCGTCTTTTACGACAATAAATGCGGTGGTAGATATCACCATCCATCAACAACGTTATCACGAAATTGAATTTGTGTATGTGTATGTGTATGTATGTGAAGGTGAATGCATGTGATGTAAAAGCTGCTGTATGTATGTATATATATGTGTGTGTATCTATGTATTCTTGTTCAGTGTCTGTGTGTTGGGTGCACCGGTCTTAAAAAGGAATTTCGCCCATTTCTGTGTTCTTACTTATTTCATCCTTTTGCATTTCTATTTATTCTTATCAAATTCATGTTAGTAATCAGCACCAATTCATATTTATCGGTTATTTTTCAAGTTGATAAGTGAATAAGTAACAGATTAATCAGTAGTGGAATATTAACAAAAGACTACCTATAACTAAATCATTATTTTTTATGGAATTAGGAGCTATATTAATTAATATGTACTGCACTAGAAATTGATAAATGCTGAATATGATGTGTCTGAACCAGACGTGGTCTTCGAAACAATTTTAATTGTTGCTTATTTAATGACTAATTTTCATCAAAAAGATGAAAGTGGTTAAGGGAAAAATAAACACATATCCGACAGTGACTGATCAAGGGATATTCTAAGGACAATAAAATTTTTTATAGAATATTTGCAGTTTTGCTTTCAATTACTTTGTAAAGTCGTATTGAGATAAGCGGAAAATAATTCCATTATTTTAAGTGGATAGATTAATTCTCAAATTTCTGAAATTCTGTTAGGCTTAAGATTCTTTTATTAAAGGATTTTTTCATTGTAGAGCAAAAGACCGAGAAAAACATCATCATCATCAAGGATGATTTTATACTTGTCGTTTGCGGATGATGCACATATTGGAAAAAGAGAATTGATTATAAGGCGTGGTGTTGAATGCCATCATTACGAGAGGAATGCGCGAAAAAGGAATGTCTCCGTTAATTTTAAAACAAAAACAGGTTTCAACAATCACTAACTTCTCCACTCACCCCTTCTCTGAAGATTCCATCACAATTACCTATATAGATTCCTATAGGCGAGAAACGCTCATACTTGAAAAATCGACTCAAGCAAATACAAGCACGCGTCCAAAATGCATCACGTTGCGCGAAAACCACGAGCTATTTATGGCGACAATTAAATTACTCGTTCTCGACCTTTCTCCTTATCTCTTTTTAGGATCGTCTCTTTTTAAATGCACTATACTGCTAAGCAAACCGGGTTTTGAATTAATATAATTATTTTATTTATTGATCTCATCGGTAAACCCGGTTGATACATCTTGCTAATTCACTCAATTCACTGATTTCCAGTGAATTAGTAGAATTTATTCGTTGGGTGCAATATATATGTTCATTGTGAGGCAAGAAAAATTTAGCAATTTTTCTAACTTTTCATTGCACTTTTCTCGTTTCAGTCTTTTGTTACTTAAAACTTAATTCATTATAAATCTATAATATAGTATTTTAATTCAACGATACACTATAGGAACAAGTAAATATCATCTTAATTGAGAAAGAAGATTATAAATCACCTTCTGAAGTTAATTTATTTTTGTTTTTCACTGAAATAAATGATTTTTATAGCCATTCCTTCCAGAAAGCAATAATTTTTGAAGAATGAAATCTTTGATGAGTTCATTGTTTTTATTTATGCTTCGATGAAAAAATGGAAATTGTATTTGAAGAAGAGAAGATTGAACATTTTGTTTAATTACTTATTAAGTAATTAACTGTTTGGTAATTTAATCTGTTCAATTAAATTACCAAACAGTTCAAAATTCACTTTCTTAAGTCGCTGTCACAATCTTTACATATCTTTATGAATTTTTTGTGTTTCTTCCTATTCGAATGATAATTATTTTATTAATTCATCTTTGGGCGCTTCCACGAATAAATAAAAGAGTACTGTGCTTATTTCCTATCTGAGATATATTAGAGAGAGAGTGAAAAAAAAGCAGATCGCAGGACGATTTTAAATGTGCTGCACATTGTATAGTTCGTAGAATATCATTGCTGTTTCGGCCTATTTTTTTATCATTATTAATGGTGAACGCACAAATAGCTATTATTGAAAAGCTTGTAGGAATACAATTATGCACATCCCGTTCTATAGCAGATGTTTCTGAGAGTGCCTACAAGAAATCTCAGTATAAGAAAATGTAGCTAATATTATTTGTTGATGTTCTTCCTTCTATATTTTTTTTTAGCTGTATGTGAATAAAAGGTCGATATGATAATATCGTATTCTAATAGTGATGTAATAACAAACACATCAAATGATGCACGGCATGTTAGACCAATGGAAGCATAGTGAAAAGCATTTAGTCAGCCCCTTAGATGAGAAAGCTTTTTTTTAATTTCATTTTTTAAAATGAAAAATAATAAAATGCAGCATTTAAATGGTTAGTGGCTGTAGAAGCAACTAAATGAAGTAAGCCATTATGAATCGAAAAAGATATAAAGAAAAAAGTAGAACTAGGTGTTTTGTACTTCGTACTACCTTGCTAGGAGTAGTATGTCTTCAGAAAATCATATCAATTTCTTCTATAATGGTTATTTAAGAAAATTTTGTTCTTTGATATCTTTTATCACCAATAGATTATTTTTAAATGTCACTCATTGAAATTAGTATATGATTCTTCGAGTGCTCTAATTTTTATGCATCTTTACTATTATGATATAATGATATTGAGGTTTTTGAACTTATAAAGGAACAAGTTTTTATATCTTTGAGAAGATTCATTACAGAAGATCCTCAAGCTAAATGCATAAATCAGAAGAGGAAATGTTTGTGAGTTAATCAAACAAGAAATTCGCTTGAACGCATCTTTAATAATATCTTCATAATACAAGAATGTCATATTAAATAATTCTAATCATTGTTTCATCGCTTCTCTTTGCTATCACTTCTTGACAATTTTCTTTCGCTTTTAATAGAATATTATAAATAGCCTTCCAAAAATTGTCAAATGATAATATTTTTTCAGCAGCCATAATTTATTTTTCTAAACGAAAGCCTTACTTTATTATCAAATATAAAACCTATTCATTACAAACAACGATGCGTCCTTGTGAGAGTTCGAACAACTGATAATAATGCATTCTGTGATATTTCTGATAACAGCACTGGTAGCACATGGAAATGGTATTGTGCCTGCACATAATAGTGGTAAAGGATTACGACCTTGGCTCCAAAGTAAGTCCATTATCTAATTTCATGATTAGCCTAACAAGAGCACTGTGCTATACTGTAACACAGCAATCCATTCATAATAGCGTAGTGGTTAAAACGATTCTTTATTGTCAGTAAAAAAAGAATGAACGTTATGTTCCGCCTCATCCATTTCAAAATTTATAGATTACTGTCAATGAGTGAAAACCCACTGTGATTTTAACATTTCAGCTTTATTTAGTTTTCCAACATTATTTGAAGAAATTATTTTTTGAATTTCAAATTAGTTCACCATGATCTGAAAAACCTGGCTAACGTGTAACTTTCCTCAAATGATATCTATTATCATTTATCTGTCTTTATCACCTATGCCGAAGGTTCTTCTCAATAGTATACTAATGACTAGAAGGAGAAAAGCAATATTCAATTGGTATTTTTCTCAGAAATTATCTTCTGACCTCTTTCGCCTTGTAAAAAAGTGATAAATGATAGAAATGCTGTCTAATCTTTTTGCTATCTCACACTTACAAATTGTTCCGAATTTTTAACAACGCCTACCTCTTCATGATTCCTCGAATATCTGAGAAAACATGTTGAATTTCGAATGAAGTATAGCTCTCAGGACCATATTAGTTGGTTGAGTGAGCCAGAGAATGGTCACCTGCTCCAAAAATCTCGTATTACTATTAAGAGGCTATGAACTATGTCAAGGGAGAAGTGATGTAGTCACAGGTATCATAAATTAGCACAATCATTAATTGTAGAAGTTTCAGCGTTGCAAGGTGGAGGAAATTCACTTTCAAATAAAAGTGTGAGCATAATGAGCTGACGAGAGCTAATGTAAATGCAGAATTAATCTTTTTTTTAGCCGGTCCACCTCGATTCAAGCAAAATCAAAGAGTTGTTCATGAGGTGTTCCTAAATGACAAAGCAATATTTAAGTGCACTGCATTAGCAAGACCGGCTCCAAAGGTTTATTTTCCACTAAAAATTTGTAAATAATCATCCGCTCAAACTTTGGAAATGTGTCATATCAGACAAGACTATTCTGCTGATCTACAAAGAATAAAATTCAGCGACAGTCTAACCGATGAGTTACTGGATGTGATACAATGAGAAGCATCATGAGCTTCTCTTTAGAGGTCCAAATGCAAGAGTATGGTTTGGCATGCAACGATCATGGTCAAAAATATATCATTCAATGATCAAACAGTCCTGATCGTCAGGACTCGAACATTATTCATTCAAGCGAAATGTTTATTTTTGGCTGGGAAATAATGCACCTTTTCACAAAAATTGATGAATTTCCGATTTTCAGATCCATTGGTTCAGAAATGGAGAATTTCTAGACCACACAACCTATGCAAATAATGAACGCCTTCGTGAGAATAAAAAACACTTCTCGTTGGAAATAAGGAGAGTAGAAGTCAGCGATCAGGTTAAATTTCAATCTAATTGTCATTTCATTTCCAATCACGACATTTATATTCTTTGCAAACAAATTCTATATTTACAGGGCTCCTGGGCGTGCAAAGTATGGAATCAAGCCGGCTCTATATTTCGAAATTTTACTCTAGAAATTATTGGTAAGCTTAGGAATGGATTTTTATGCTTGTGAATGTGTATAACGATTCTAACAAACTGATTAGTATATCAGTAAACTGCATGAATTTTTCCCTCATTGGAAAGATTTGAATTCCGATGCATACTTTGAAATAAGAAAGGCAAGAGAGTGTTTGAAAATACATTCGGCAAAGTTGAATTATCTTTGGGTGTCATCAAATCTTTGTACCGAAATTTTCTTCACATACTGACTGATTTGTACTGTTGAATTTCTGAAACTGCATGTTAGTGAGCTGCAGAAGTGCTTCAGCATGTATGAAAAATTCTGAAGTTGGAAAAAGTTCGCTAATAAATCTACAGTGTGATTTTTTTTGTTTTTATTGCATGAGTTTGATGAATGCTGTGGCATGTGTTTCATATTGTTGCAGATTTCTGTGATTATTTCTTCATGCATGAATTTCCGGCTCAACACGTTCCGGAAAAATGCATTTGTTTATGGTATCTTACGGATGAGTATCGAAAGGATGGCATCAACTGGACTGAGGTTAACAATGAGCGCTGTGAAGCATTTAAAAAATATGCATCAAAAATTCGAAAACCATTAGGAAAGAAAATATGCGAGAATGGTGCTTGTGGGAATGAGTCACCGGGAATGGACACGCACGAAGTTTTGCAAGGAGTTGGATTGCATGATGCAATACCCAGTGATATAATGCATGATCAGCAACAACAACTCAGTGGCTTACAGGCGACAACTCTTTTGTCCGGTAAGCATGTTTCGTTGAGCACTGTTTAAAAACTACTCATTTTTTACCAAAATTTTCAGATCCGGTAAAATTATTCGACTGGCTTGTGGAAAATAATTGGGTGGATGTGAGTCATTTGTTATCGAACCTGTTAACACGGCAAAAAATAACTGCTATTAAACCAGCACTGAGTGACTGGAGTACTTTAGATATTGCTGAGAAACGTCTTCGGGCACGGACACTACTCCAACAAGAAATTCCAGACATCGATACAAGTATCACAACTAATGGTATTCAAGACATTGATCCAGAAAGTAAGGATGTCGACATTCTAATGAACAACAATGACAGCTCCTCCACTGAAATTGATGAAAAAATCTCCGAAAAATCACCCATAGATTTTTTAATGCATGACCAACCACGTCCGGATGAATCCCATGAAATATATTCTCCTGATATTGCACCGAGAAAAATCTCTGTTCCCATTCTGACAACAACTATATCTGCAATAACTACAACGAAAATGACCTTCCTGCATACAACGAATTCAGTAACAACACGTTCCACTACTCGGCGCATTTTTCCTCTCCAGAAAGGTTTCCTTCTAAATAATTAATTTTTTGTTCTAACTGAACAACTAGTACAGACAGCATATTCGTTTGCTTATACTACAACACCTCAACACTTTTTGCAACCCTCAGGAGTATTTTTTAGACTTTTTAGAAATGGCTTTCAAGTTGATAGTTTTAGCAGCAATATATTGCCATTTGATGTGTCATTATTGCTAGTTCAACTTAAGATATTTCCTTTTTATAATTAATTCCCACAATGCCTTACCATTTCCATCTTTGATCTTATTTGGTTCATCAAAATGAAAAGTAACTTTAGCTTTTTCCTCTTTAATTATAATTTATAAATACACGATAAGGTTTTAGTGCTGCCGTATTTCAAAGTTCGTGATGAAGATGCCGACACGTCTGTGATTACACCTTCTGGAAGAACAATTAAATTGCAATGCAAAGCTGGAGGACAACCAGAACCACAGGTAATATACTTTTACTATCATTACAGAAAATTTACACCTGTTCAAAGGAGAAATAAGGTAAATTTTTATTTAGGTTATTTGGTTTAATAATAACAAGAAGGTAATTACTACGGAAGTTCGAAGGCCAGTAGGAACTGAGTTCCGTCTACGGAAGAATACATTGGAGATAGAAGACGTTGCCGAATCAGATTCAGGTGACTATACATGTGAGGTGAGTTGACTGATTACATGTAATTTCAATTCAGCGAGGTTTCTAGGTTTTAAGTAAGTTACATTTGAAAGTATTCAAAATAAGCGGAATTCCGGTTCATCTATTTGATCATCTATTTGCTGATGTTTGATTTAATTTGCTTTCACAATTTCAGCATTTTGCTGCTTTCCAATATTTTTTTTTAAAGCTAATATTGTTTTATACGATACTTATTGATTGGAAGGTGAGGGAAGAGTGATTTATCTTTTACTTGGTTTACTTGGTTTTTTACTTGGTTATCTTTCTGGAGATAGTAAAAAAAGACTTGAGTGCTAACACAGTTAATAAAAATTCTTTTTACTAGCTACAATTTAGAACAAAATATTAAAGTCATAAGTTAGCAAAGAAATAATATGTTTCGGAATCTTCCTGAAATGGATTAAATGATTTCAACACCAGAATAAAACTGCAGAAAAAGTGAAGTTTCTTTTAAAAGTGTTTCTATTCAACAGTAATCGAAATTTTTGTGAGAAATTTATTTAAAAAGATACTATTGGGAGCTTTACTAAGCTAGTGATAGTTGGAAAAGAGCTTCATACACAGTGTTGGTTGTTATTTAATGTAGGCATTCAATTCGGCCGGTTCAGTAACGCGAACTTTCAAATTGAGAGTTGTTGATCGGATGCGTTCAAAACCGATCATCGTCCCAAATATTCTCGTAAATCAAACTGTTGATGCTAACAGTACAGTTAATTTCACTTGCAAGGTGAGTAAAGCTTTCGGTTTCCTTTTCTTTTCATAAATGTTTTAAATTTCGGAATAAAAATTAAGGATTAAAAACAAATAAATTAAGTCTTTATGGGATAACCGAAAGTCGTTTATTTATAGATCATTTTCAAACCTGGAATGTATTTCAGAAAACTTTTTGGTTTGTAGGTAATATCAGATCTAACACCACATATCGTTTGGATGCGTATTGAAATGACCAACGATTCCATTTATTACTGGAATGAAACGGATCGTAAATACGTTTTCCGATATACTGATATGCAATCGGTGGAGGTTGTTTAATGATTGTTTTGCGAAGTCTTAACTGTTGTTATTGTATTTTTTTCACATATTCACATTTTTTCTACATTAATGTTTTAATGAATCCATATCGAATTTTAATTTAATTCCATTTTCTCTTCTCATTCCATTTGTTTTCTTTTTTTTTATTTCATTCTTTTTCGCTTTTCTAAATCTCCCATAAATATCCAACTGCCTTTCTACAGAATGCAATTGTGACGAAAATATCGCAAGATTCATCAACGTTAACAATAGTGAATGTAACAGTGGCCGACCAAGGAATGTATGCATGTGTATCAGGCAATCATCTTGGCCATGTAAGTCTCTTCTTATAAGATAAGGAAAACAGTTTAGTAGCGAACAAAATATTTATATTTAAATAAATTTAACTCATATTTAAATAAATTGAAATCGATTTAAGGCGATAGCAAATGCAACTTTAACAGTTAACGAATTCCATGCAATGACGCTTGCAACAGGAAATCCGGAATCGAAGTGGTCTCGTTCGTCTGTTATGGCTGTCGTGTTTCTTTTTATGCTACTTATTTTCATGCTGGCTACTACTCTTTTTTACATATTTTGCATTCGAAAACGTTCAAAAGCACAAATAGCTGAAATGGAGCAATTCATTGGTCCAGTTAAAAAACGGGTGTCTTCTTTTTCCCATCCTCTTCTTTTACTCTACTTTTTTATTTGTGATTTATTTTGAATAAATAAATCAATTTCGAGAATCGACCTGATTTTTAAGGACTGATTTCATCTTCCATAAAAGGATCAAGTGAGAAGTTTTCAGGTCATTGTTACAAAACGCCCAGCTGATCCAGAAAACGATGGTTGGTCTGACATGCCATCGACTTATCAAATTCATGTAGAACCAATCGCAACATCTGGAACCAGGAGACCACGACTTTCGAGCGACTTAACTTTTTTGTCGGATTATGAAATTCCACCTGATCCTATTTGGGAGGTCGAAAGATCCAGGTCATAATTTATATATATGTACTCCAGGAAAAAACTTTCTTAAATCTGAAACTTTATGCATCTAAACTTTGAATCTGCATCTTAAGAGTACTTTTAAGATTGCATTTTGTGGAGATGTTGGGCGAAGGGGCATTTGGAGAAGTCTGGAAAGCGGTGCTAAGGATTTCAAACGCACGAACAGTTCAAGGAGAAATGCGAGAGGAGGAGGTTACTGATGCTTTGATGTTTCAGAATCTCAAATTTTGTTTAGTTCTTTGCCTGAGTTTTTTATCGAGACGAAATTCATCACATATGTCTGAAGTGCCTTAAATTGTAGGTAGCCGTCAAGAAATTGAAAGCATCCGCTCATGAGAAAGAGTTAATTGATTTGGTTAGTGAAATGGAAACATTTAAAATCATTGGCCATCACGAAAATTTGCTTCGATTGATTGGATGTTGCACTGGTACTGGTCCATTGTATGTCATTGTGGAATTATGCAAGCACGGGAATTTAAGGTGAGTTAATTTTGTTACATAACTATTACTAAGTTGTAGCTATCGTTTAGAGTTACTAGTAGATCATGATTGACATTTTAAATTATTTTCATCTAATTATCACCGGCAGTAATATTACAATTCAGGGATTTTCTGAGAGCTCATCGTCCTCGAGATGTAGATAGTGGTTCGCAGGTTCCTGAAGCTGCAAATTGTGGCGCTGGTGTTGGCGGTAGTACCGATCATTATTTAGAACCACGAAAGTTGCAAAAGAAATTAACTGTTGCATCAACACATGATCAATCAATGCTTATCAAGCATTTAACACAACGACATCTTGTACAATTTGCTTGGCAAGTGGCGAAAGGAATGGAGTTCATGGCCAGTCGGAAGGTTTCATCTCTCATCTTTTTCAAAACCCATCCATTGATTAAATAAATTATTTGAAGCAATTGAATATTTTTTTGAATTTAGAAAAGCATTCACTTCTCATGCTTCTTACAGATAATTCATCGTGATTTGGCTGCGCGAAATGTTCTAGTCGCGGATGGTTTTGTAATGAAAATATCAGACTTTGGTCTATCCCGAGATGTTCATTATAATGATTATTATCGAAAGAAGGGAAATGGTCGATTACCGATTAAATGGATGGCATTAGAAGCTCTAGATTCTCATGTGTACACAATCTACAGTGATGTGTATTTCATTTCATCTCTTTTTTATATCAATTATCACTTATATAAATGAGCACTTTGATTCAATTTATAAGTGATCAGAGGCGCTTAATATTACGTATTTTTCTTTTTTTTCAGCTGGTCATTTGGAATATTACTTTGGGAAATAATGACCCTTGGTGGCACACCTTACCCATCGATTGCAATGCAACAATTGTATTCATGTCTGAAAGAGGGATATCGAATGGAAGCACCGGATAATTGTCCTGAGGAGGTTTACGATGTTATGGTTGCCTGTTGGCAGGTACTTACGCATAATCATATTTGTGATTTGTTGTTATCAACTATTGTATTTATCTAACGCTATTGTTGAGGTAAATCTTTCAGGAAAAACCGGAAAATCGTCCAAGTTTCGACACTTTGGTTGATTATTTCGACTGGATGCTTACTCAGTCAGCTCGTGATCAAGAGGTTACTTGAACGACCAAAAATCGAAATTGTCACTTAAACTTAAAACTTTATCATTATATGTATAAATAATAATTTTCATTTAAAACTCTGTCATAATTTATAATGTAATTCAAGCAATCTCTACAGAATTATCTGGAAGTGCAGTCGATTACGAGTGAAGGAAGCGAGGAAGTCAGAAATATCGCACCACCGCCACCTCCACCATTACGTGCAACGGAAAGTCCATCAAGACATAGGAAAGCACGACCACTGTCGGAGCCTGTTATAAGTCCGAGTGAAGTAAATCACAAATATTTTCGGTTTTCTTGAATTGAAATCTGTGGATCGGAGAATCATTTAAATTTCAACACCTTAGTTGATTATTTCCTTTTGATACAGTCCCTTCTTTTCCCTTCCAACTTGTATGAAACTGATGACATATGAGAGGAGTGATTTCGGTGAGAATTCTCTGTGATGAAATGTCTGTCGCGGAAAACCGAAGATGGGACAGTCTGAATCATGAAAAGATTGATAGTTGCTGAACATGACGAAATAATTTAATAACAACACAGTGAGCTTTGCGTAAGCGGATGTTTCACCGTGTTAGATCATACGGCTAGGGAATGAACTGCAATAAATAACTGTACATTTTGGTGGTCTCATATTGATTGTTTCCGGATTTTTTCACCCTTTCCTCCTTTCATTCTATAGAATTCATCCGTATCCATGCTATCGTTCGACATTAATTTAATCAGTTATTAACCAATAAGTTTGTTAATTTTAGCCGGTAGTTGATCCTGACTCAGATTCTGAATTTGATAATGATTCCCATCCTCTGTTATCTGGCGAAAAAGCTGTTTTGTATGAGAAACAAAGTCGATCCGGTATACATCATGCCTTCATTAGAAGATGTCCTGCTCTTCCAGTAGCTGATAGTTCGTAAGTTTTAGAATGAAAGGTTTCTCCATTGTTACATTTTATCTTTACTACGCTCTGCTCTTAGGTGATAGAAACTTATCCAGGAGATATTTTTCCTATTGTTTATGAAGAGTGGGTAGGAAATAACTGAATTTAAGAGTTCATATTTGTGAATTTTCAAGTATGCTTTCACAATTTCTATAAGATTTGCAAGCAAATCGATTTCAGACCTTTCAATGAACTTAGCTTGAATAATACGGCGACGATATCAATCGATAGTGCGATCGGTTCACCTTTATGGTCAGCTGGAGCAACATCAACACTATTAGATTCAGATGCGAATGAGAGGGGTGATTCACCAATGTCGTATAAAAGACGCCGATTAAGTAATGGGCCATGCACCTATTCTGAAGATAGAAAAAACGAAATTATAGGAGAAAAAAACGGCACAGAAGACGTTACTTGTAGCAAAGACTTACTGAATCCACAATATATAAATGTTGAGGGTGCAGAAGCAGCTTCTGATGAAAAGGGTAAAATATTTACGAAAGATTTATATAACTTGCTTTCCTTCTTAATCATTCTCCATTCATTCATATCATTTGAGATGGAATATTAGAGTTTTAGACTTTTTAAACTATAAATTTATTAATAATTTGCAAAATTACTCAATTATTTAGGAAAATTGCGAGGTACAAAATTTCCTTTCCCACCACTAAGGCATACTCGTTTTTCTGATTCAACTGCTTATGAAGCGGATTCAATCCGCATGGACAACATGAGGAAGCCAGCACTTGAAGGATCCGCATCTGCCTTCATTGTCAATCAAGCAAGCACGTTAGTTTGTCGTTGTTTGAAGATTAGAAATTTTATTGGGAATTTTTCACTCATATTTTACAATCCTCTCTCTGATGCTTAGCAATTTAGCTGTCGTTCGAAGGAGATAATGTGTTTTTGTCAATCTTCTGTTGTTGTTCTTATGATGAAGTCGACTATTTTGATTTTTAGCTAATTAAATGCAATTATATATCTACTTGCATGGAAGGAATTTTATATAATAGTTCAAAATATTTTTCAGTTTATTAACGAAAGTGGATAAAGAAAATCCGAATGAAACCTCGGTATCGAAGTCAAACAACCGTAACCAACAGCGAAGATTTTCAATCGAATCAAGTTCAAGTGGACGTGGTGGTTCCTCGGGGATGTCTAGTGCAGAAGGCCTGGGTGGCGTTGCCGAATTTTATCATATTGAATGTAATAGCGGAAAAAAACCCTTTATGAATTGTATTCGCAACAACAATAACCAAAGAGGAAAAATCCATTGCCTATTTTAGAAGTTAACAAATAACTCGTGGCTCAAGTCATTTCAGGAATCATTTCGTTTAGTAATTTTCTTACTGTTTCCTGAAATGATAATAATGTCCGCACATTTGTTCACCTCACTTCGTTTTTATTGTATAGTTTACACCAGTTCATTTGACAGATCTGTCTTATATCGATATCACTTCTATTCACTTATTTTTATTCTTAGTGCCTCATATCTGTGGAATTGCTGGGCTGTTGGATGGTTTTCTGCTCTTGAATAATAACATTACCAAGAATTTCTTTTCTTCATGTTAATATTAACTTAGAAATTTTACAACTATGTTAGGCTACTACTTCATTTGTAGCTCATCGTATCAGTGAAACGTGTGTGACATGTGAATTATTAATTTTTCGTATGAGTTATAATTTTTCTGCTAAACTATTTTTTATATTTTAACATTTTACCGTTTGTTTTTTGTGAATGTATATGTTCTCATTACATATTTCTGCTCTTTCTTATGGAGATACTTGAATCAATTAATGATTAATTGATTAGGTGGAGGAAATAAAATAGGTATGTATATTTCCCATATGGAAGAGCAGATATATTTATAATCTTTTAATATGGATATCGTTAATGAACTATTTATCATTTTTGTGGTTATTAAGAGTAGAAAAGAAGTGAAACTTCGTAGTTAAAAAGATAAAATTTATCGACCAGATTTCTTCAAAGATTGTGAAATCAGCCATAATTTAACTCGTTTAAGTTTTCATTTTCTAATTTCTTTTTTTTCACTCAAGTTTCCTTATTTTCAAACATCACTTTAAGTGAAACTTTTTAAGTTTTCCAATGCAAGATAAATTTCTGCATCTTTTGTCCAAATACGAGTACTGAATTAACTAAATGTTAAGCAATAGTTATAATTTAAATATCTTTAAAACTTTTAATTTTAAAACGTCAAAATGACTTGTACGATGAAATTTGAAAGTTTTTGCCAATTTGCAACCCATAAGAATCGCCATTTCCATCGCTGTGCAAGAGCATCAACGGTTGCAGTTAAAGCGCAAGCATATTTTCAGGAAACAGTATAGAAATCAATAAAGCACTGATTTAACAAAATAATCTAATCTGGTTTCTGCAATCACAAGTTTTTTCGAACTTCTTGTTAGATAATTTATGACGTGATAGGTAACAGATAAGAGAGATGTATAATGAATGAATATGGGTTGCTTGCTTGATTTCATCTCCTGATCGGCTTGGTTAGATTCACTCATTGCTGCAACAAATATGCAGCGTACTGACTTCATCGAAACAATTTAGCATTATCGAGTAGTGAATTTGCGCCTTTTCGAATGTTATCCACCAACATCTGGTTAATACAAACAAGTTTATTTTATTTACCATCTGCTATTTAGACTATGGATTTTTTCATCCTGAAAAATTAATTGATTGAATCAAGAGTTTTAATGGAATTCTACAATGGTTAGGGTGAATTCATACTCGAAATTGATTTTCTTGTATATGGAATTGATTTCATATGTACTCATAGTTTTGAAAGGACATTGCAGAATATCCTGTATTGTTGGAGAATAATCAAGTGATGTGATCCTTCTAAGATTATTCGGAAATTTGCAATATTGTCTCTCAATTATCTGCAATACTGAGAAATTTAGAATGGAAGAAAGAGATCAAACAAGCCATTATGTATAAATTTCTGCATAGTTGGGAAAAATTGCGTGGAATAATTTAGTATTATCGAGTAGTTGATAATTGGAACGTCCTTCGTAAATAAGTTGCATGTCACTACTTTGCCAATTTTATTGAATAATTTTAGCCATTTCATCTATGCTATAATTTCAGCATTTTCTAAATTCGAATTGATATTTTCATAAAATAACTATGTTTGATTTCTCCTAAAAGAGATGAAATGTGTATTTATTTCAGCAAGTTCACAAATTTGAATACTCTCAATTATGTAATATTACTCTCGAATTATCATGAAAATCTGCAAAATAAAACTTTCATAGAAAGCTTAATTTGCTTACTTTATGGATATGTTGTCACCTAAGTAGGGATATGTGCGTTGCTTTTGAAAACAAGAAATTTCCAATGTCTATTAATATATTCTTTAAATTTTCATTAATACATTCTTTGTCTTTAGGAAAACAGTAATTTCAATGAAATAAAATGCAGCATAATTTCAATGAAATAAAATGAATGAATCTCATTTCTCATATTCTAAATTACACAAAATAATATAATTATTAAACCAATCAAAATTAAAAATCAACTGTCAGAATTTTAAATCTATTAAACAGACAAAAGCAAAAAATATATCATTACTCTTTTCTTTTTGCTTTATTGTTTCAGTGTGTTTTGAGCAGACAATTCTCCTCATTCTTTTGAATCAATAAACAAGTTAATTTTGATGGTCGGGTTTAAACTATTTCTGTTTGGAAATGAATTACAACTGTGAAAGAATTGAACATGAAAACAAAGGTCTCCTAAAAAAAAAACAAACAAAAGATGAAAAAATCATCTTTTCTGACAGCGCCTTTGTTATTACAGCTACTGTAGCTACTCTTCCCGCAGCGGTAGCGGTTATTTGTTAATAATTTCTTGCTGTAAGTGAGAATAATAAAAATTTTCAAATTCATCAATCATAATAACTGCCAGATGAATCATCATTCAATTTAATTGATGTTATAATAAATTCAACAGTCTGATATTAACGAAGGAGGAAGAAAGAAATCAGAAGTGAGAAAGAGAGAATGCCGTAAAAATTAATTATCACTTTTGTTTATAACTAACATCATTTTTGTTTATAATTCAGTCAAATGTCTTTTTATGTTAGTTTTAATGATTCTATAAAATGAAAGTTGATTAAACGTGTCAGCTGACTAAAACATTCCTAAAAGTTTAATGTAATGATTTCAAATTTAATGTAATAATTCTTACAATCGCAATAAAAATTATAATCATAGGCTTAACAGAAATTATTTTATGTACGAAAATCACAAAATACATTTGACAAGCAAAATTTCTGAATATATATTATGATCTTTAAACACATAAATCTTCATAATATCATATCAAGTTACAAGATATGAATGATAAATTTTATGGAAATATTTTTGAATTTGAATTAGCAGGTAAAGTTAAATATTATAGTTTGAAATATAAATAGAAATTAGAAAATTAATGATAAACGCACTCTCTCCCTCTACCCCTCTCACTTCCTCATATAATATGCTTCAGTTGCTAAGGAAGATGTTGAGAAAATAAATCAGGAGAAGTATTCATTCATCTTATGCAGAAGGTAAATTGTTGATTGATAAAGTTTATGCTGATTAATTAAAATTATAATTAGTAAGATTTTTCTTTTATGAATAACTAAAGCATGAAAGAAATAGAACAAAGTATGTTGTTATCAATTTCTTGCACACAAATGATTCATAGGAATATACGACATCTGTAATTTTGAAATTTGACTTATTCATGAATTCAATATAATCATTCTTTCTATTCAAATCTTTTCCGCTTTACACCATTGCTATATTTTAAGGATATGTTATAAACAGTTTTTTCTGTATCACTTTATTTGCATCAATTAATATTGTTAAAAATCTGCTCTGATATCCAAATAAATTGTATGGACAGAAAAAAAAATTGTGAAAAATAGGCATTCCAAGAAATGTAAGCTGGACATTTCTAATGGACACAGTCATTGGAGTAATCAAATAAATGAGTATGTAAAAATAAATATATTTCAGTCGTTGAGGAAATTTTAAGAATCTGCTAACATAAAATCGTTAATTGCAAATTTCATTATAATAGGAATAAAAATATAAAAGATAATAAGTGGATAGGATGATAGCGTTACACTTCACGCTCCAATTCATCGATGTACGGCTGTACAGCAGTTCCTTGAATCCAAGTTTCTGGATGGAAGCGATAACGTGGATGACCTTTTTTATCAATCAAGAATTTTTCAAAATTCCAGGTGACATCATTTGTACCGATCGGATTGTACATCAATTCATGACGCTTTCCAATTATTGGCACCGTTGGCGGGCAATTATCCTATAAACGAATTTTTTAGTTTTTTGAAAACAATCATTACATTGATAAGGCAACATATCATCACTATTTAATATAATCCTTCCCTTTGAGATATTTGTTTTGATAAACTTTTATGAATTGAATTATTTATGGAAAATAAATTTTTCGAAATAAATGAATAAGATTTAACTTTCCAAATGTTAAAAAGGAAATTTGAAAAAAAAATGAAAAGCATAATTAATCCATTCTTTCTCTTTTTTTTAGCAACAAAATGAATAGAAAATATATATTAAATAGAAAAAAGATTTTCGGGAAGAATTTGAAATATTAAAACCTTCAAAAATTTGTAAAGTGCATGCTGATTTTCACCGTTGACATCAAGTTTACCAAAAATATGCAAATTTTTGTGCGGTTCCCAGCCATTTCCTGGTCTAACATATTTCAAACCATTCAATAATTCATGATTTTCAGCTGGTTCTTGCAAATAAAATTGATTGCATGGAAATGCTAGGATATTGAGCGTTCGATCAGAATTCTTTTCCAGTAATGGATTGTAATCGTTGTATTGTGCGGTATATGCTAAAATTTATTATTCATTTAAATGTAAGCAATCAATAAAATAAAGGAAATGATATATATCTTTCAGAGTTAAAATATTTTAAATTATGAAGAGAAAAAAGTTCAAAAAAAGTTAACGGAAGAATAGAAGTTTAGGAGTGTATGAAAACATTATTATTAATATTATTTGTCACGATTAATCTTCCTTTCTCTTCCAGCTCCTTCCTTTCATTTTTTCCTTCCTTAGAAAAAATCATTTTATCATAGATTATTCAAATCTCTTTAATTTCTGATAGGAACAGCAACTAAAATGCTTCCTGAAAACAAAAAAAGAGAAGAACATTAATATAAATAATAGAAAATGCTTTATGTAATGCGTAAATAATCTTTTATAAAATGAAGATAAACGCTTGCCGCAAAAAGTGGCCACATTAATGATTAGAAGAACTTTGTTGCGATATTCTGACAACCTTTTTTGTGTACCACTTAATGTTTGAACTTCAAAATTATACACTGTTTGATTGGTTATTTTGCATTGTGTTGGTTTTAAAAATTGTTTGTCGCCTTTCGGAACTGAAAAAAAGGAAAACAACTTCAGTTGAAATTATTTTATCAATATATCAATGATGATATATTGAATAAATTTTGAAATTAAAAAAGATTTAGCTGAATGCTTCCAATATAAATATTACTTTTATTTCATTTATAAATTTTACATAATTAATCAAATTAAAAATTATCTTTTCCCAATTCTTCAACATAATTCGTTTTTTTTTTTAATAAAATAATTCGTTTAAATTTTATATATTTTATTTAGCAAAATTTCTTACCCACTTGTGAAGCAATAAGTTGAAATAGCGACAAAAGAAAAAGTTGTGCGAACATTTTGACAATAATTCTTGACAGTTAAACTAAAAAACTTGTTATAATATGATATTTCATTATACATCTTTCTTCTTTAGCGGTTTATATCACTAATTTCAAAAGAAACAATAAAATATTAAATTCAACAATAAAAATTTTAGTTCTGCAAAAGTTTTTTTGGTCAAAATATTAGAGGAAGTGAGGGATCGCTTCGATGATATCATGAAGAAGATAGATATTCATAAGATTCTATGTAATAAATTTAGATTGCAAAAAAAATTAGTACCATTCGAGAGATTCGTGCCAATGAGGAGTATTTTTTTATTTTGTTCTTGATAACATGTTGTTAAGCTATTTTATTATTGATAACATATATGTATATATATATATATATATATATATGCATGATTTTATTATTGATAACATAACCAAAAAAATAATCATTGAAAGGTAATTTTGAATTCAAAATAAATTGTGTGATTTGAAGTTACTGCTTGTTTTCAATTGCTTTTGCAATATAAATTTTTTTAATCCAGATATAATGATTCCTTTATTAATTGGTCCATTTATAATCTCTCGAATTAAGACGAAAGTATCTTTCAACACCTTGAAACTTAAAGGAAAGAATATTTGGACCGTCATTTTACACCTCAAGCTGTATTGCTGGATAATTAAAATTAAAAATGAACTGCTGTGCATTTGAGGGAAGAGATATTTCACTCACATAGAATTTTGAAGTATTACTTCATTTCTCAACAGGAAACAGTACAGCAGATGTACTGATAATGAATCCGAATCAAATTTTGGGAATAAAAAAAAAGTAAATAAAATCTAAAATGCAAAAACAATTTAAAATAAGAGGGAATTATTATAAGCAATAAAGGAAAGTAACCAATCCTGATGAATATGGTGTCTAAAATATATGTTCCCTTAGTGGTAAGCACTCGATATCGACAATAACCACTAATTGATTTCTGTAATTTTAAATCACAAAAAAAGTTCCATTTCGGATTTTTGAGTGGATTCGGTGGTTTAGTTCTTCTCAGTGGTGCAAAAGTTGGCAAACTTCCTAACAACATCCAAGTCTCTTTTCAGAATTCAATTTTCCTTTAAAAAACTGAGTTAATTCGTAACTCTTGGAGGTTTGGTGTAGTTTTAAAAATGATAAAGAAATGGGATTTGCTATAATATTTTCAACGTAAATGTGTCAAATGTGCTACAATCACCACATTTTATTTATCATCACAGTTATTACAATTGTAATTGAAAAGATTAAACGGATAAAAATAAATTTTAAAATTATGTAAAGGAAAGAGAAAAATGAAAGACCCGTAATATAATTTTTCATATTAAAACTGTTGCTATTTTACGCTTGTGTATATCTGTTTTTTTTTATTGTCGAGAACGGATTTCAGCAACAGATGATAATTCGTAATCATCAATTTCATCGTGTTTGACAGGTGATTAGATTATGCATTCATGCTATCAACTAATAGAATAAGAAGATGGTATTAAATCAAAGAGATTTCAAGAAACTTTAAAAGTCTTCTTCAAAAACTAATAAAAGCTTCCATCTAATGATGAGCTTAATAAGATTAATTTAAGTTAACTATAGGCTTTCAATAGTTATTATAAAATAAGACTGTCATATGCGCACTGTACGAGAACGAATTAACCGCTAAAAGGTTGCCGATTGAAGTGAAATGACAATTTATAACATGAAAAATTTTTAACTGATCAGAAAACAAATACAGCAATCGTTCAACAACTAATTGGGTAAATGGCAGTATAAAGATAGGGAACATGAAACACCTCTATCTGATTCGTATCCCTTAAACAGGATAATATTTCATTAGAGAATTGAACACATCTATAGAGGAATTTGGAAATTAAACGAATTGGATATTTTAGGAATTACCGAAGTATATATTACTTTTGAGATCAAAAATTATTTTCATCTTTGTTTCAAAAAAATTTTTTAAAACATTCGACTGTTTTTATTAAAAATAAAAAGCATTCGACTGTTTTGTTAAAAAGACAGGTATAATGATTGCCAACTCACAGATAAAATCATTTTTCAATGAATACCTTTTACAGTCTTAAAAGAAGATACAAAAAGTTTTTTGCCTTCAATTTTAGGACAAAAAAAAAGAGCAAACAACATCACCGATCAAAACTGGCTTTTTGAATTCTCCCCACCAAAAACATAAGGCATACACACCAAGAAGTATGGCAAAACGCTGTCCATATAATATAATATTATTCAACTTCACTTATTTTTTCTTTCAAAAGAGACTCTTAGAGAGATGAATGTTAAAAAATATAGGTGCACAAATAAAGGTCATTTTTCAAAACTTCAAACATTTTCCGTATCAATAAGAATGGGAAGGGGAGAGGGAATGAAAAAGAAGGTAATACTTCAGGAATGAAAAGAAAGTACAAGTTACAGGAAACTGCAATAGGAGTAATAATAATAGTGATAATGATAATAATAATAATAATAATAGTAGTAGCAGTAGTAGCAGTAGTAGTAGTAGTAGTAGTAGTAGTAGTAGTAGTAGTAGTAGTAGTAGTAGTAGTAGAAGTTGGAGGAGGAGAAGGATAGCAACAAGAGTAAAAATCAATTATTACGAAGTAGCGTTAAATAGAAATTAACAGAGTGATACAATAATTGCGGAATAAAACATATTATATTATTTAATAGGGTTTTTTTTTCGTTTATTCTGTGGATATGATGTTAGAAATGGGATAAACAACAATGTATTGCAATAATAATAGCAATTTATGATGGTATGTCGTTCAAACGAAAGTGAAATAACCATCCGATTTCCGGCGTTTCTTGCTTCGCGCTGGATTTGAACCATCGAAAGGTGGTTTATTCCTTAAGGAATACTTCCATCAAGTGATATTCGTTTTCTGATTATATCGATAAAATTTTATTTCAAATTTTTAATTACCGTCGAAGAAATTAATGCTGAAGAATTTTTCACAAACAAATTGAAAGTTTAAACTTTAGAAAAACATTTTTAATAATGCAACAATCATTTTGCTACAGATAATCACTAATTTAAAAATTGATATTTTATTCCCATACTCAGAATAAGTGAAAAAATAAATTGAAAGTTTATGTTTAAATAAAACATTCAAAAATCATGGCTTATGGTAAACTGTGGAGAAGTGATCCATTCTTCGCATTGTTTATTAATACAGTATCAGTTAGCTCTCATGGCAATAATAAATTATAAAATTTCTAATTTAATTCACCTGGTTTGTCCTAATAGCCATGTTTTAAAGTTTGCGTCCAGTTTGCTGGGACTTTGTGTGACACCACCTTCAAACATTTCAATGGGACTCTTTCGCACCCTACAAAACAAAATTTTCCTTAGCTTTCAAAAATTCATGATACAGTAAATGTCATTTTTGAAACTAAATCGGTGATCCACATGCTTCCATAAGCTAGCAAAAAATAACCTGTCATTGAAATTATGCCATAAAGCGACGATCAGTTCAGTGGCCATAATATCGCCAGCATGTGCACTTATCATCCTCATGCAAAATACACCATCATATCCAAGAAATTTGTGCACAAACTTTTTAACAGACTGCCGATCCGTTGCCAGATCTGTCGCTTTTAAATATTTCCGAATAAATTTCATATGCTAGAAAGGATTACTTTTTAATCGGCTCATTTTCACTTAAGCTAGAAAAGAACTTGACCCTTCGATATAATTGTTAGCAATTTGCATCTCCTTTCATTGACATTTTTCGTCAAAACAGTTTGCTAAACCAAAATCATCTGATAATTAAATATGGGTGCAATTGTTTTGCCCAGAATAAAATTGACCAATGACAATTGGCATTTAGATCTATGCTTCAATCCAGCAATGTTCCAAAGATGTGAAAATGTTTCACAAAGGATTAAAACAGTCGAAAGCAAAAAAAAACAACATTTACTTGGCCTGGGAGAAATGACATGAGCATCCAGTGACCCATGGAAAACATACTTACTATCGATACCATGAAATACCAAAACCACAGAAATAAAAATATTTTTTCATTGAACATATTTATCATCAGTACACATTGTACAGTATGATGATGAACATTACCGAGAACACGTACCTAAAATTTACCATTTTCATATACATTTCCATATATTAAATGAATACAACAGTTGCCAGTACTTTTTTAAGGAAAGAATCAATTTTCGAATTACGATACCTTCTTGAACATTTTTAAAAATTCAGATTCCTCTATCTTAATGCTACAATTTGAATAAATGTATTCAACCAATAGTGCATACCTCAAAATCACACATAGTGACGCGGGGAAAATTACCGCTCACTTCCCATTCACGACCTCTGAGCAGATCCTTGAGTATATGGAAACCATAAAAGATATTGTCAGTACCGAGGAAAGTATTTAATAAAAATATCTGCCCAATAACATTGATCAAATATAACATTTTGATAAATACGTACAAACAAGTCACATATGAACTCCATCTCTTACTAACGCACATCCCGGATACATCTGTTACCTAAATATCTTAATATTAAGCATTCCTCTCATACTTCTTGATATATTTGATTATTAATCACAGATTAATCTAATCAATTATATTTTCATTTCAGCCAATTATTTACCTCACTGATTAAGTGTCCAAGTAAGCAGTTTAAAATCATCCTTACCTCCCTTTGTATTTCCAGGGCATCTTCCATATGTCCAGCAATAGTTTGCACTGTTGCTGCTCTAGCATCTGCATCCATCATTCTTGCATCACAAGCCATTTGTGTTAGGCTTTGAACATTAATCCCTGAATTTTACTACGCTAAGTTTTTACAATGTTTCATTTTTTTTCACTAACCCAAAATGTAACGAAAACTCATCGCACAGGTATTTTATCTCCATTTGAACAAGAACTAATCGATATAGTTGATCTACACTTATCATCTTCAGATGTTCCCGTAATGTTCCCTGTATTCAACTATTTCATTAATACTTAATTATTATATTGATTTACTCCTGATTCATTAGTATGCGATTAACACAGTCTCAGTATTCTTACAGTAATAGTTAACAAAAACAATTTCAGAAATTCACAAATTACTCAACTTTTAAGAATATTCAAAATAATGATTTCGGTTAAATGAGTCATAAGTGCTGCATTGCACAATGGCGTGCATTTGAGTTGATGGGAACATACATATTCGAACGCAAGTAGCTTTAAAAAGCTTAAAAAAGTATAGTGAAATTATGTAACGAAAGAGGGTAGAAAAAAAGATATACGGAAGTAACATTTTCGGACAGTGGAATGTGACCTTGAAGTTCGTTTCAAGAATGACCCAAGAAGAAATACGGATTTTAGCTAAGAAAGTCGTAGAAAGTATGTCAAAAGATCCATGGCAAGTCATTAGTAGCAATTCACGAAGAATAGTCATTTCCACCTAGGGAGTAAAATAACATATCATCTGATCAGATTAAAATAATTCTTCGATCTTTTCCGATCCCAATAATTAGAAGAATCGAAAAGTTAATAAAGTTGGGATTCACCTGAGTGCCAGTGTAATAAACCTCTCCACATAATGCATGGAATGTAGAACATTAAAGCCTCAAGAGCGAGTACGAATGGTACCCATTGATAGTAGCTAATTTGACGAGCCCTGCAATTATCCTCTGGGAACTGATAAGATCGTATTATTGATGCAAATAAAACAAAAATATAAAACCATTTTAAAATACATTACTTCAATTCTTAAGTTCACTTCGTGTTAGTTTGAAAAAAAAAAACCTCCTATCGCCATACTCCAGCGGAAAAGCACTTGTTAAAGGCAAATAGTATGTATTTTCCACCCAACAATAGTTTTCTGTATACTGTTCCCATGCATCCGTAAATTGTGCTGGCACCCAGCATTGGATTGGATATCCTGAAATGTGGAATGCATTTAAACTGAAATAGCCACACTGAAAATTTCTTAATACTTGAATGTTTAAAACCTCTAGCCACTACCTTACATCTCAATTACATTATTTAAACAATATTCTGACAGCTTGTGATTTTAGAATTCTGTTCCTTTTTTGCAGTGTTATAGAGATGCAAGACAGAATGAAGTAACGGAGCTTCATTAGCTTCGTATCCTTCACACTTGTCCATATCTATTTTTCTGACAACTTGATATTGTACCTGCCCAACAGCAAATGAGAAACATTAATTCGAAATTTTAGGTTCTAGATTTATTATATTCAATGTTTCTAAATTACGAATAGTTGTTATATCTTATTTTCTTTCACAAACATCATTTAGTAAGTAACAAATCATTGCAATGATTAAAGTGTTTATTGTTGATTTCATTGCAACATTTTTGTCTAAAAGTTTTTCTTCCTAATAAAAACTAACAAAAATCTGGCAAGATAAATAGAAATGTCGTTTTGCACCTTTATGGAACAACGAAAGAGCTGAGAATTTTTTTATACTTTGAAAAACTTTCCAAAATTTAGTCTTATTTTTATTCTTTGTTCTTTTTCCTTTTTTTTAAAATAGACTCCGACTAATAACTATATCAATAATATCCTGGCGGTAATGTACAACTTGCTAATTAGCGGAAAAGAGAAAACTTACCAACGTATTGTTTTGCAGAAACGATAATTGCGAATGCAAAAATAATGGCAGAGGTATAGTGGTAATTGAGCTTATCAACAAAATCATCATCAACTCGTGGATGGAGACCTTTGAAGATGGCCGCCAAGTAATAGAGCAGCATCCCACTGCCACTACTGGCCAGTCCTTAAATTTATTTTATATTGAAAAATTTCTCAAACATTAAATAATCAAGACAATTTGTTTTAAATTGTTTTTAAGAATTTTTATGACTACATTAAACAAATACTGAAAAAAAACAATAAAGTTTTTCGCAATAATCACTACATTTCAGTGCTATTCTGGGAAGTGCTTACAAACTGTGGTACTTACTATTTATTACGGAAATATTAGTATTAAATGAATGATAACCTTAACTCAAATTATGTAATATTGATGCTGGTTATCATGAAATAGCAATAGCAGCAACAGCAGATGTTTCCGCTCAGATCCAGAGCAGTCCCCATTTAAGGGTTGTTTTGTCTTGTCAGAATGATGAGCTACTACGCACCCGCGATCGTACGTCCTCTGTAAGCATTATGAAATTCATATAATAATTTGAATAAAAAAAGAGAGGAACCATCAATACACTTGTAGTGGAAATACAAAGAAATGTAAAATCAGTAATTACTGATAAGAGATCTGGGCAAGCCTGATATTATGTCTTCAAGAAACATAGAAAAAATAGTCTAAACAAAATAATTGAAAATTTATAAGAAACTATCGAATTAGTGACGAAAAAAGAATATTCCTATAATTCAATTTACAATTTTTTAGATTATTTTGCAAAAAAAGAGAAATTTTTGTTATCAATTAGTAAATCGCTAAAATAAAAGAAAAAACGAAATTCAAACTTAATTATCATTTTTTTTTATTGATAATACTTAGAAAACTTAGAGATGAAATTGATATCATTTTAAAAAAAAAAAAACTGAATATTCAGAAGGCATATGAGAAAAAATGATTAAACTTCAACAATAATAAATAGGATATATATGAACTTTTGTAACCATAAAAGAACAGGTAAGATTATTTCATAGCATAACGAATGTGTAAATACAAATAAACTTATAGAAAGTATGGGAGGATAAATACGTATGTGAAATGAAAATGGGAATGAAAGATTTCAATGTTACACTGATTAGATAAATGATAACAACTGATAGAACAGATTTGTGTGTATTAATTTGTAGTAATAATAAAGTCAAATTATTTTTAAATTATTTTTAACTTTCAAAGAGATCAATAGAAAAATGAAAATGAAATGTGTAATAAAAAAAAGTTTAAGTTAAAATAAAAGGAAATCACAGAAATTGTGAAATAAAAATTATCAATCGATGGCCAGAAAAGAAATGCCTTTTCTTATTTTACTGAAAAGAGTAAAGCAAAAAAAGAGCTATGGAAGAATGAAAAGGAGAAATGAAGCCATTTATTAAAAAGCCTCTGTTAGGGTTGTGATATTATTATTGAACATTTTACTTCCGTGATATAAATAGCAAAACACATATATATATACACATGTCTCCCATCCTTTTAGCTTGAAAAGGCTTCTGATGACTAATGCGCCTTAGACAAAAATCTGGAAAGAAAACTGCCGTTTGAATATCATCTTCGCTTTCTAAGCTAAATAATTCCGAAACATACTACTACTTCAAAAAATGTTGTAATTTGAAGTGATTTTTTTTTAATTCGAAGAATGATGTAACAACTTTACATCTTTTAGTCTAAGTAATTAGCCTTGATGATCAAAATGAAATTATTAAAAGAAAAATATATGCGATCGATTCTAGCCTTCTTCAAATCATAATCTAAAATTCAATTTAGCAATACTGTAGTATGATTACAAAAACATTTATACCCATAGAGATAATGAATCGATATCATAAGAATTTTCATCTATAGCTTAGCAGGTGGCATTATTGGTTACAACAGTCAATTTTGCGATGTATTTAACACTCCTTCCTTTGCTTTTAGAGGGATGCAAGAAGGTGTAAAAAAAAGCCTTTTGAAATATTCATTATAAGATCTTCCTCTTCTTGCAGTTTCAATTATCTGAAAGGGAAGATAGTAGGAGTATGCACATTATTTCATTTATGAGATGTGTCAAGAGAACAAGAGGATGATAGTATATTACATCTTGTAGTATATAATGTACCTTCTCTGCAGACAACTACTGTCACAATCACAATCATCATCACTACTTGGTAAAAATGAGAAATTAGAATAATTTAGATCAACTTCAGGAAAACTAATAATGGAAAGTAGCTATGTTACTCAAAACTTATAGTGTAATCGTTCAATACGAGAGAATGTTTATGATAAATATCAAAAGCACTAATTTAGAAGATCGAGTTTGAGGTACAGGTGTTCTGCATTTTCTCTTTTATATTCTTTTAAAAGTATAGAATGACTAAGGATTAATGATCTTTAGTATCATTCTATCGATGCAACATAGAAGAAAGATAACAAGAATGTAGGATTGTAAAATTTTAATAATTACTGGACGCTATACTTGCAGAAGAATACAAAAGAGCAGTTCCGATTTATTTAAATTCATTATCATAATTAATCATTATCATAATAATCATCCTCATTTGAGCATGCGCAATATATTTCTTAGCTATAACACAAAGAAATCAATTTTTATGGAATTAGAGATTATGATGACCAATTAATAATTTCAATAAAATGCAATATTGTAATGAGCAAGGATATTTAAAATTGCAGTAATGAGGTATTTTATTATCATTTCAGCAACATTATAATGATATTACAATATGTTTTCCCGAGAGTTACTCCTGGATTGATCAACCATGAGTGGTGCATACATCAAGCTTTAAGACATTTCAATGTTTTGAAAACTCTCCTAGTTTTCACTCCTCTACAGAGTCAAAATCTCTAAGAGAAATTCTAAGAAAAAGCAATCACTTCATTCTACTCAACTTGATTAAGTAAACCATTTCTTTTTACAGTGAAATGGAATAAAGTGAAAGGAAAGCATTAGCAGAGGCGTAGAGAAGGCACATTAGTTTGCCAGCACCAACTGTACTTTTGCTGAAAAATCATAGGAGAATAATGATTGCATTGTAGGTGAAGCGGTTATAGTCGGTCGAGATTTAACAAAGGAAATTTGTGGAGAGGTTGTTAAAAGAAATTCAACAAGCGAATTTGAAAGGACAAAAAGGGATAATTAATGGTAGGGAACTGAAGATTTGAAAGGAGAGAAATGGAAAGTTGATGGAGCAAAGTCGAAAATGCTAACACGTATGTGCACCGGTGGGTTGTTACTGTGATGAGGATAAGGATGAAAACGGTAACGACGACGATGATGATGCTGATGATGTTGCCGATTTTTTTGTTTTGGGAAAGCTTTGGTACAGCAGAGTCGAATAGTAGTGAAGACTTTATTCATCTTGACGTTATAAAATTAGCGCCTTCGTTGATGTCTTTTGTTTCGGCTGGAGTTTGTTATCGTCTTATAGTGCTTCTAGTTTGTTGCACTATGGGTTCTTCTTGTTTATCGGTATCATTTAGAGAATCCTCGAACTTTGCTGACTTGAACTTTGTTCTTCCCTCCTATTTAATTTCTAGAAGATATAACATATTTATAGATCGATTTAAAAACTTCCCGTGTGGTAACTGCACTTCTTACCTTTTTATCCTGACCTATGTTAAGTTCGCTTATTTTATTTTCCGTATGCTACGAGGGCTATCTAATTCGTTTACTAATACAATTTCTCCTTCACTGGGAGTTCTAGGATTTACACTTCTCAGATTAGCTAAATACTTGTAGCACGTGGAAAATAAGAGAGTGTTCCATTTGCGTACGCTGTCTCAGATTAGTTAAATACTCGTCTTTCTATATTTACCAAAGCGTATCAAGAATTTTTAGTGTAGTTGATTAATGCTTAATGATTTTTTCCTGAATGTTTAACCCAAAATGAGGTTAAACATTTTGGTCATTGTTACTACCAGTTAATATAGATAAAGAAGAGTTGGAAGAGATGAAGTCAATTGGACGTAGAATTATGAAATCATCAAAGTTTACGTAAGTTAGTGGACGAGTATTAAGTATACTTTCTATTTCCACTACCAAAGTTATTAAATCCTTTTCTCATAACAACTTCCTTCTTATAGTCCTTTTTGTTAAGCTGACTATCCTTCTATAAACTCCGCCGTTCCAGGGAGCCTTTGGAATTATATTCTTCCGTTTCATTCCTCCCTTTGAAAGGAAATCAGTCAATTGTGTCCCTTGACCGAATATGGTTTGAAAAACCAATTGAAATTGGCCGACGTTATCAGACAAATTAATTCGGAATAATCGCCGAGCCAGAAATCTTCTAAGGACATACCAGAAAGCTTTCAGCAGATAAATTATCTGCCAGTTCTAAATGTACCGCTGTAGTAGTGAAGCAAGCAAATAAAGCATTTTTTTGCTACTCTTATCTCAATATTGACAAAGATAGGACCTAAATAACCTAGACTAATTCGAGCAAATGTTCGGGAAATTTTACTCGAGTTCTTGGATAATTAAGCATAACTGGTAATTTGAATTGTTTTGCCTTCAATTGCTTACAGCCCATGTACCCATTTATTCGACAATCGTTTAACTTCTGATCTTCCTTTAGGTATCCAAAACATTCTTCTTAATCTTGAATTTGTATGGGCAATATCAGCATTGATGCATTTCTTCCTGTTGTTGTATGATGATTTCTGTTTATAAGCTATATCGTCCAATTCCGAAATTTCTATTGACTTCTAAATTTCCACATTCCTTTTGCATAATACAAGTTCCATTTTCTTATTTCTCTCACCAATATCCTTTCTGAGCTTGTTTGACTAATATTTCTGCAGCTAGCTTACAATCGCCGGATATAATTTGATTTTTCTCTGATGAGGTTTGCAACCAGGAAATTTTTCCATTGGATATCAAATTTAAAAATTTCAATACTAACCACGTTTGCTAAATCGATTTACATCCGCAATTTTTATCATGGTCTTGATGATGTTTTGCTATGTTTTCACTTTGACTATTTCGATTCTTTTTCTTTGAACCATACAAGTCCTGTCCACCGAGGTTCGAAATTTGCAAATCAAATCGGGGAAATTCCTTTTGTAGCAGCT